CGACCCGGCCTCGAGGCTGCTCCTTAATCTCAGCACCCGCTCGGCATCGTTTCCTGAGGACCTGCTCAAAATCCTTCTTTTCCTGCACTTATCGCGCTGGGGTCCTCGTTCCTGTTAGTTATTTTGGATTTTCATGATAAAATCTGACATAGCCTTGGGAATGTTTGCTGAAACAGAGGTAAAAATAGACACTCGGAAGGCACCCTGCAAAATGCGTAACTTCTTGTACTTAGTGTCTACTCTATTTTACTCTCCTGTATTTTACAGCATTTTGTAACAGGTTTGCATTGTATTCACAGTGTAACATTTATGTAACAGGGTGAATATTTAGGAAGCGCTGCACTTCGAGTGACGATCTGCTCAGGAAACAGGTCGTTGGGCAACGTTTGTGCAGTGGCAAACAGCATGCGGTGACATGTGGGTGTCAGCACCTGTTGAGCCTGGATTAAGGCACACTTCCATTCCTAGATTATTACTTTTTAAAGATATGCCTTCTGTTAAGGGCATATATATAGTAGCATTTGATTGTAAACATGCGATCATTGAGGTTTTGAAAACATACAAGTTTATTATGGAGCTACGAAGTGGATGAGTCATTTTTTTTTTGTGTGGGCTGAGCAACATGACCAAAGAAAAGGTCCTGCTGCTCGGGCTTTTGGAAGGGCTGAGCCCTTCGGCTGCAGATGCAAAGGGAAGTAACTGACTCACTCACCGCTTTCCCTCCTGAGTCATCCGCAGGACCCGCTTCCGCTCTGCACTCACACATCAAGTCTTACGGTCATAAATTTTAGTAAAAACTGTGTGTTTAATTAAAAACTAAGTCTCTTCTGCGCTAGGGGTTTAAAGAAAACCCTTGAATTGATGAGCTGGATGGCGGAGAGATGAGCAACACCACCGGGAGTGGTGGCGTTTAAGGCAAGAGCGGTGAGCTGCTGGTGCAGCACAGCACCAGCCAGGATTACGGTACGGCCCTGCTGTTTTCCTCCAAATTGCTGTGTTTCTGCACAGCTGTAGGTTTCAGCTATGCCCTCGCTTGTGCCTAAAAAGAGATCCTTTTCTGCACACGGAGTGCATCCCCACCAAAAATCTGGCAGCTGGGTAAGGTGTTAAGGGATGCAGGATGCACATGGAGCTGGAAACCGAGGCGTCACCCGCAAGCCCTGATTTCATCCGCACAAGTTAAAGGAAGGTGGAAATGAGCCCAGCTTGCAGCCTGCACACCCCGCTCTGCCTGTCCCCTCTGTGCATTGAGGAAGGCTCTGCGGTTTGATTTCCTGTGCTCTTCTGGGCACAGCCAGAACCACCATAGTAAATACCACAGTGTAAGAAGGAGGACTGAGATACGGCACCTCCGGAGGAGAGATCTGCTGCAAGCAGAGCTCATCTGGGCTCTTTTGGCCTTTCACCTGAAGTGATGCTCCATTTAAGCTTAGAGTCTTCATCTGGAGGCATCTTACATTTGCACCATGTTTTTCTTCCTATCTTTCCAAGTTGAGGTAGATATATTGGGACTGTATGGATGGCTCCATACTTTTATTTTTTTTTCTCCATTTGTTGCAGCTGTGGCTCCATATATATGGATGGCTCCATACTTTTGTTTTTTTTTTCTCCATTTGTTGCAGCTGTAGGTTCCAGTTAGAATAATTGTTAGCAAGTTCATTTAGCATCAAAATAACCATAAAAAACTTTGGAGGGGGGTCAAAATCCCACCCCAAAATGCAGATTATTACCATTCAGAATATGATTTTCAATTGAAGGGCACAGTTCTATGGTAAAAATCCCAAATAAATTTAATTAAATCAAGGGATTTGTTCCCAATTTACACTACCATAAGTTTAATAGCAAGAGAGAAAGCATGATTGATGGTTTATCAGAATATGGTTTTGGCAAAGAAAAAGCATCTAACAACTGTCTGAAATTTTCTTAATTATAAGAGGAAAAATAAAGTTGTCATACATAGAATGTAAAATTAGAAGAAAATATAAAATTAATTGAGGTAATTGGCAAGAAAAAATGAGTGGTAAGATGATTCAGCTTCAGTGGTTTTCAGTCTTTATGATTTTAATCTTCCAAAAGAAAAGACTTGCTCTATGAAGCACTGGCTCTGTTTATACAGGGTCTCTCAAACATGTTTCACCCTGCTCCGAAATAAAGCAGGGAGGGCAGGATGGTGGGAAGCCCAAGCTGGAAACGCCACCCACAACAAGGAAATAATGTTTTTGTGCTAAACAGAGCA